CCCCTTCCCCAGCCCTGCTTCTTGGAGGTGGCAGCGTGGGGTTTTGGTGGTACAGCGCTCGCCCAGCCCCCAGCTCTGACTTCGCTGCTGCTGCCAGGCGCTAACAAAAGCCGGCAGGGAGGGAAGGGGACGGGGGGCACAGTGGTGGTGCCCCGCCGCCACTGGGCCCTGACAACAACCAGGAGGGAGGAGAGCCAGGGGGAGGAGGTTGTGCATGGCTGGGCGCACAGCAGTGACAGTGTGGGGCTCTGGGTGGTGGCTGTGGCTGCTGCATGCAAGCTTCCCCCCCACCCCATCCCTGGGAGGCAGTGGCGCCACGGGGTGGAGTGCGTGGGGCTATTGGTGGTGGTGCTCCATCTCCACTCGCCCCTCCTCCTCTGTCATTCTTGACTGGCAATTGGCTAGTTTGTCCATATTGCACAGTAGTATCTTATGTGTACCTTTTGTATGTCAGTCAGAGGCCAGTGATTAAATGAACAATTCAAGTGATTAAAAGGACCCATTTCACACACCTCGCCCTTTGAGGCAATCCTTTCAGGTCATAGCACAGCATGTTAATAGAATGGCATGAAGGAATGAGGATAATTTGACTGCCTACATCATTTCAGCAGGTAAACTTGAGGCTTTGGTCTTCTAAAAGTATCAGCTTAGCACTTAGGCATAAGCATGATATTTGGTATTTCTCTTTAGCATGCATGTGAAACTGGGGAAAGTGTAACAAAAATAAGATGCTGAGTATTAACACAACAGCTGTAAGTGGAGTTCTTTCTCGGTATCTTCTGGATATGTGATGTTGGAGGGAAACAGACAAACGTGCAGCAGACTCTGGGGAGCTCGGTATGTGGAATAGTGAATATAAATAACAAATGAATTGCTGTGAAACTTTGGGTCTCAATATTTTATCTTTGTTTCTATTGTCAATGACCTCACAAATATGTACTGTTTTGAACATCCATTGTTCTAAATGGAGGCAATTTGGGAAGGATTCAAGAGAGGGTGGCTTTCTTGGTGACTTCTCCCTTTCTCTGCTGCTTGCATAATCTGGAGTTGGCCAGCTTCCAGCAACTCTGTCATCTCTCCTCCCCTCCACTACTTACAGGTGTGTCTCTCATGTAAGGATAATAGTATTTGTTGTGTCATCTGGCCCACTGGGCTCCCCATAGGTCCAGAAATTTGGTAGCAGGGGAGTGGTGGCAGCATTAATTATTGCTTCCCTGCTGCCAAACTTCTGGACCCATAGGGAACTTGGCTGGCCTGGTAGCATAACCCTGTGTGCTAGATCAGGCCTGGCCTTATTGTAGGTGCTGCAGAGCCCAGCCCTGTAGGCACCAATCCCACAAGTGACCCAGTCTTCAGACTGGCCCAGTGCCACTCATCAGGGGACTGCAAGGTTGAGTATCACTGGTATGTAGTACAAGAGTGAGTAACCTTTTGGAGCAGTGGGCCACTTTAATGGAGATAGCTAGCTCTGAAGGTGAGCTGACAGTCCACACCCTTAGTGTCAGCCTGTTGTAGAATTGCTGCAGATGTCCTGCTGCTGAATTACCACAGATGTTTTGGCTTCACAGGCCCAAGCCAATTGCTTTTTGGGCTGAATTGAGCCCATGGGCTATAGGTTGCTGACCTCTGATATAGAGAAAAAGAATCTAGCTTAAAATTGAAAGGTGTAGGCAGAAATTTGGAGGGGAGGTGCAGAAAAGAGTGAGCTTTCAACACAACATCAGAATTCCCACATATTTGTAAGGGGAGTATATTTTAAAAAAGAGAGCAGAGATCCTGAGGGCTAGTAAATGCCATACCCATGAGGGGATACCATTTTCCAGTCTGGTTTTGTGGCAGCAGCAGTTCTAGTTGGCTAGAGGTGACTACACAGTCCGGTGGGTGGCGAATTGGCTAGAGGGTCGCACCCAGAGAGTCATGGTGGATGGGTCGGTTTTGACCTGGAAGGGTGTGGGCAGTGGGGTCCTGCAGGGCTCAGTCCTTGGACCGATACTCTTTAATGTCTTCATCAGCGACTTGGACAAGGGAGTGAAGTGTACTCTGTCCAAGTTTGCAGATGACACAAAGCTATGGGGAGAAGTGGACACGCCAGAGGGCAGGGAACAGCTGCAAGCAGACCTGGATAGGTTGGACAAGTGGGCAGAAAACAACAATGCAGTTCAACAAGGAGAAATGCAAAGTGCTGCACCTAGGGAGGAAAAATGTCCAGCACACCTACTGCCTAGGAAATGACCTGCTGGGTGGCACGGAAGTGGAAAGGGATCTTGGAGTCCTAGTGGACTCCAAGATGAACATGAGTCAGCAGTGTGATGAAGCCATCAGAAAAGCTAATGGCACTTTATCGTGCATCAGCAGATGCATGACGAACAGATCCAAAGAGGTCATACTTCCCCTCTATTGGGCGCTGGTCAGACCGCAGTTGGAATACTGCGTGCAATTCTGGGCACCGCGCTTCAAGAGGGATGTGGATATCCTGGAGACGGTCCAGAGAAGGGCCATTCGTATGGTTAAGGGTTTGCAGACCAAGCCCTATGAGGAGAGACTAGAGA